GCCATGGGATTCATTGATGGAGTAGATGTGGCTTCTCAGAGAAAGGAGTGTAAAATGTTTCCAAGGCTTTTGACTTCTAAATGAAGATACTTGTTCTGGCGGGTAGGATGGGGGAAGCAGTGCAGATGGGTAGGCTCAGTCTTGTCTTTAGGAATCTGAGAGCTGCTATATTAAATTCATTTGGGCAAGGGTTTGGCTGGTGAGAAAGGACCAGAAGCTAGATCCAAAAGTTGCTTAGAGCTGATGGACACTATGGCTAGAGCAAGAATCCTGCTGTAGGTCAAAGCCAAAAGTTTAGATCGATAGGAGAATGCAATACTGGAGGCAGAGTCACGGTCAGAAGCCAGTGTTCAGTACAATTTGGGTGGCATGGGAAGTAATTCAAACAGGACAAGGGCAATGGTGATTTATTAAGTACCAGACATCATGCTAAAAAGGCTTTGTGTATAGTAGCTCATTGAATTCTTATAATTTTATGAATTGAGGTGTCATTAGCTCTACTTGACAAATGAGGAAAATCAAAAGGTTGAGTGACCTCTGCAAGGCCACAAGGCTGGCAAGCACGAGAACACTTTGAAGCTCTGTTTGGATGTGACTCTGAAGCATGCCTGACCACTATCCAGTGCTGCAAGGGTCAGTGTCCCAGCTGGCAGCTGAGGTTGCCTCAGAGGTTGAAGTCAGGAGGGTGTGGGTTTGGTAAGTCCAGGTGGAAGCAGAGTCTAAATGTACAGACATGGATCCAAGTTTGTGGTTTACATTAGGCATGAAGAAACAGGCTTGGACTGGACTTTGAACCAGGAGCCCGGGAGCAGCATCTCAGATCTGGCACCAGCATTCCCACTCACCCAACTACAGCAGCACTAAGACTTAATGAGGCAAGGTGTTGCAGAGGCAGACGATTGTAATGGAAAGTCAGGCTTCTGCTTAGCTAGGTTTTTAACACTCCCACTGTATTATACTAAGATAAACATGCAAATCTGGTAGAATTTCATTGGCCTCTGCATTATAACTGCAACAGTGCTCTAACGTGGATAGTCAAACACCCTTCCGTTCTGTAAGATATTTGTCACACAGATGTTGGAATCTATGTTGGAAGAGCTCACAAAGATCCTTCTCTTCACCTGGCTTAATTAAGGAGACTGCCCTAGATCCTCTAGGAAAGAACTTAGTGAGCTTTGCTCTTCCAGAGGCAAACAACCCTGGAGTTCCAATTCTGGTGCCCTTTTCGCTACCTGTCAACTGGTAAGGGTGCACTGAACACAAAATTTCATTCTCAATCTGCCGAAAAGGCACATTTAATGCTCCCGGTTCAATAAAGATATTATAGAAGATCTATAAGCAAGGACATTCTGGCAAGAGCTAATTGCTGTGCTATAATAATGCGTTGGAATTCAATAAAACAAGGTCTGGTACCGAAGTTGTTTCAGGTCAGGCTTGAGTAATATGCATCTTGTAGTTTAATAGGGAACGTAGGCTCACCGAGATTGTGACACCCAAGTGATGGAGTCAGTGGTAAACTGGGTCCAGAACTCAGATCTCCTGATTTCCAATTCGGTCTTCTTTCTTCTCTACTCAGAAGGTGCTAGGATCTGAATGATAAACAGTGCTCACATGGACACACATCAGGTAAAACTATAATTGACTAATATGGCATACATGATGGACCTACTTAGTTAGGGTGGAGCCTCTATTGGTTTTTAATTCAATAGTAAGCAGGTACTTAAAAGGCTGGGAGCAGGTCAGTGGTTCAGAAAACTGTCCACTTGCTGAGTAGACCACTAACTGTGCTCTATGTAAAACACATCAGGCCGGGCATGGTGGTTCACACCTGTAATCCGAGCACTTTGGGAGGCCAAGGTGGGTGGATCACCTGAGGTCATGAGTTTGAAATCAGCCTGACCAACATGGAAAAACCCTGTCTCTACTGAAAATACAAAATTAGCTGACGTGGTGGTGGATGCCTTTAATCCCAGCTACTTGGGAGGCTGAGGCAAGGAGAATTGCTTGAACCTGGGAGGCGGAGGTTGTAGTGAGCCGAGATCGCACCATTGCACCAGCCTGGGTGACAAGAACAAAACTCCGTCTCAAAAATTAAAATTAAAATTAATAAAACACACCAAAGCATCGAATGGAAAACAGTACTTGCAAATAAAATGATAATTTGATAAGCAATACTATGCAGGTTTTTTAACTGAGAAGCAAAGGTGATATTTGCTTGGATTTTATTTGAAAACCCTATTTGATTCATGCTCTACTTCTACTCCTTAGATATGGGATGTAGTGTAAATTACCTAATTGGCTCAGTCTTTAAGATTTAAACTCTCTGTTCCCAGGCTGCAGCGGCTGGAGCAAAGGAAATGAGATACAAGGCAATCTCATATTGAAGCAGCTACATAAGGATCCCTAAGATGTAGTCACAATTTCCTGCCATGCAGTTGCTTGGAATTAGAAATCCCGATTCCTGCTGGAGTTAAACTGAACATTGCAAAACTGGTAGGATTAATTCAGTGGAAGAAAGTTGGTTTCTTGTTTAGCAGCATGTGGATGAACAGGAACTCTTGTGCATTGCCGGCAGGAATGTGAGTCAGTACAATCACTTTTGGACAGGGATATGGCATCTTCATAGACTTGAAGACATGTAGCAACTCCACTCCTAGGTATCTGCCCTAAAGACACTCTTACACATGTTCACAAGAATTCTCACTGCAAAGATATTGGTAGCAGCACAATTTTGGAAGATGTCATTTAAAAAAATACATTGTGGCGTAGCAATTAAAACTAAAGCTATCAGGCAAATGATAAAAACACCAGGGATGGCCATACTCATGTCAGAAAAAGTGCTTTACAGTCCAGCACAGTGACTCACATCTCTAATTCCAGCACACAGGGAGGCCAAGGAAGGACGATTGCTTGAGCCCAGGAGTTCAAGACCAGCCTGGGTGACACGGGGAGACTGTGTCTCTAAAAAAATTTTTTTTAATACTATGAAAAATTTTTAAAACGCTGGGCATGTTGGCTCATGCCTGTAGCTCCAGCTACACAGGAGGTTGAGGCGAGATTGCCTGAGCCCGGGAGGTCAAGGTGACAGTGAGCTGTGATCACGTCACTGCACTCCAGCCTGGGCCACGGAGTAAGACCCTGTCTCACGGGAAAAAACCACTGTCAAAAACTGTCATAAGAGACAAAAAGAGACATTATATAACAGAGTAGAGAACCCAGAAAGAAATCCTTGGGTATATGGCCAAGTGATCTTTGACAAAGATGCCAGCTGCTCCTAGGTACTCAAGAGGCTGATGTGGGAGGATCAACTTGAGCCTAGGTTCAAGTCTGCAGTGAGCTGTGATCATGCCTTTGCACTTCAGCTTGGGTGGCAGAGCAAAACCTCTGTTTCATTCATTACCCTATAAAGAATACTTTGATTACATGTGGGGAAAAAGTAAATGGCACATATAGTTTTTAATTGGAAATTGACTTTACAACTTAATACCCAGCCTCAGTCACCCTAAAGCAAGCATATTTTATATAAGGGATTTCAAAGTTTTACTTACTCTGATCGCTATGTTTTGACTTTTTTTTTTTTTTTTTTTTTTTGAGACAGTCTTGCTCTGTAGCCAGGCTGGAGTGCAGTGGCATGATCTCGGCTCACTGCCACCTCCACCTCCTGGGTTGAAGCAACTCTACCTCAGCCTCCCGAGTAGCTGGTACTACAGGCGCGCGCCACTACTCCCAGCTGTGTTTACTTAGTAGACACTGGGTTTCACCATGTTGGTCAGGATGGTCTCGATCTCTTGACCTTGTGCTCCGCCTGCCTCGGCCTCCCCAAGTGCTGGGATTACAGGTGTGAGCCACAGAGCCCAGCTTGTTTTCACTTTTAACACCAATAGACCACTGTGCAGATAGCCACTAAACTGCCAAAGTGACAGTTAACAAATACATAGTAAGTCCAGGAGCAAGTTTCCCAGTAAGAAAAATCCCAGGCCTCCTTCAGCGAAGACAGCATTTTAGATTCAAAGCTAATTAATTATTCTCAAAATTAACTATTTCCCGCCCCCTCCCCCCCAAAAAAAAGTCCTATGGAGGATCAGGGACAAATGTCTGCTGCCCATTGCTTCTTTCACCTCCTATCCATCTCATGCTGTCATGACACTCAAAGCCTCTGCACTTGTCACCCCACCCAGCTCCAACTATAAGGGTCCCATTTTTTTCTACAAATCTCATGACTGCACTTCAGAGCTCGTCCTTTTAAGGTAATCTCTGCATGTGTTTAAAGTCTTAACATGTGGTCATAGTATTCAAGCAGAAAAAATGTGTATCTTAAAAGCTTTGTGAATCCAGATGAAGTCAGTTGTTGGGAAGGTAGGCGGGCAGATACTAATAGAATTGGTGTAAAAGTGAGGTGAAAAGGAGGATGGTTTTATAGCTGGATAAGTAAAAAGTTCCTAAGCGGCCAGGCGCGGTGGCTCACGCCTGTAATCCCAGCACTTTGGGAGGCCGAGGCGGGTGGATCACGAGGTCAAGAGATTGAGACCATCCTGGTCAACATGGTGAAACCCCGTCTCTACTAAAAATACAAAAAAAACTTAGCTGGGCATGGTGGCACGTGCCTGTAATCCCAGCTACTTGGGAGGCTGAGGCAGGAGAATTGCCTGATCCCAGGAGGCGGAGGTTGCGGTGAACCGAGATTGCGCCATTGCACTCCAGCTGGGTAGCAAGAGTGAAACTCCGTCTCAAAAAAAAAAAAAGTTCCTAAGCAAATGAAAGATGTATCATGAAGCCAATACTTCTCAAGTTTCTTGACTGCACAGTTCAAAGCTTCGACACACGTTTTACCTAACAGTTTTGAAATGTATAAAGCCTCTCCATTCTGAAGTGTGATGGTTAAAGTCAAAAGACTCGAAATCTTGTCAGCCTTTCAGACTAGCAATTTAACTATGGCCATAATTCAAAGTGATTCTGGTAGTAACTTTCATTCTAGCAAATAATGTTCATTAACCCAAGAGTGAAACAGGAGCCATATTTGCTGGCCATGTTTTATTTGTCCTTTTTCTTCAAACAGGATAACCGAGGATACAGACAATATTCAATAAAATAAAATAGATGAAACAATTCTAAGAGACTGCGATGCCACATGCTACATTTAACCTAATTTTATTCATGCTTGCTTTGGAATGGGGAATAGATCATTCAGTAAAAACATACAGTAAAAACAAAATGTCTTATATCATGTACAACTTTTAAACTACAATGATGTACCTTAATTACTTCCATGCACACAAGTCTAACATTCTTTTTTTTTTTAAAATAAACACAATTAAGACTTCTAGGAGCATTTTATAATAAAGTAATTCCTAATTAATTTTTCTTTGTAGATAGATCAAGCACCTCCAAAATACAAATTCCTATACACAGTGAGCACGTTACTTAAAATGAACACAAGTAAATTAAGTACGTGGACAGCCTTGGGATAAGCTGACATAATATGTTCAGCTAGGTAGGCAACAAACCATAGTGCCAAATGGAAAAAGTGTATTTGCAAATAAATTTTAAGAACTAATTTTCATAATTAAATACAGAAAATATACTGATTTGCTAAAATAAATAAGATGTGATGTATTAACACTTCACTATAAAGAATGCATACCAGAACATTTATAAACAGTGAATGAGTCTTATTAAGAATAGTCTACTACAATAAACGCTGGCTAAATAGAAGTGCATATTGTGAAGCACTATGGGTGGTAAATGTTTTGCCACATACTTTTGTTACCTTGAGGTAGATAACACATGTGTACCAAATTCGGCATTCATTTTCAGTTGCTGCTGGTATCATGTGTTTTAAGAAATGTGTACAGTATGAAAAACTTGAAAATACTCAAGAATGAAAAATGTCTTAGGAAAAAAATAGATATTTTCATGCAATTATGTACAGTCTCACTGTGTAATTTTCAAGGCAAGGTTTGTTTCCTGTAAAACAGATCACTGTTCTATGAGAGAATGTTCTTTACTTGTCTTAGTGCATTGCTTTTGTCTCCTCCTGCGTTGCATTATTTTACTCTAGTCTTTATTTTTGTGTGCAAATGACATGCCAGTTAAAATGAAAACTATGTCACATGTAGAAAAAGAAAGTCTGGATTTTAAAAACCAAGAACTAATAAAATCCTTACTAAATGACACCATCTGATTCAAGTAAAAAGTGACTTAAACACTAGTAATAAAAAAAGACAAAACACACATTTCATGAAGAATACAAAGATAAACGTCTGCTGAGTGTTTTAGTTCAGATGTTTCAGAATGCTGCTGTATGTTTTGTGAGGAATCTGAGGGGAAGATTTCATAGCAGAAGGTGTTAAGGTGGCCTGTATTGACTTGAGTGGTGACCCAACTGGACTGTGAAACTGCGGGATGCCTATGGACTCGAGCTGCTTGTTAAAGAGGAACTCCCCACTGTTGTTCAGAAATCCTTCCTCATTTCCTCTCTCCCCAAGCTTCCCATCCTCTGTGGGCTCCATTTCTAGCATTTCAGTATCTTCTTTCCTGCTAAAGAACTTGTCCAGGTAACTAGTGTAAGTGTTTTCCTTCTCAAGTTGTTCATCCTTCCTTACCTCACAAAACTGATTTATGAAAAAACAGTCCTCCCGACCACTCACAAACTGACTGTCCCAAGAAGACTGGTACAAGGCTTCTAATTGAGCCAAATTTGCCATTCCTTTTTCCTGTTTTTCTTGGCTTACTGACTTTGATATCAAACTTTTCAACTCTAGTTGGGACACTGAGCTATTCAAGTCATTTAATTTATCAACAACATCAGTAGGCTCATGTTGGGAACTAAGCTGAATAGTTCCTGCAATAAAGGAATCAAAATCAAATCCCTGATTCTTTTCCCTTTCTTTTCCAGCCAGTTGCTGTGATGCTTCCTCTAGTGCTATCTGGGCTTTAACCAATCCATTCCTTTCACATTTTGATTTGCCTTTCTTATCAGATTTTTCTTTGCTTTGTTCTTTCCAATTGGAAAGATCTATAATAAGCTTGGGCTCATAGTAATGGTTAACTTCACTCTCTCTCCAGACTAAGTTATCTAAATATGATGATGACCTTGTTTTGTAGTTACAAGTATGGCTACACTCCAGATCACAGTATTTGTTTTCATGATGATCTGGGTACTGCCAACAAGGCTCAGTAGAGTAATTGGTATCAAAAGCAGGATCTTCCAGATACTTTTCCCGATCTCCATCCAAATATTTTCGGGGATCAACCTGTACTTCCTCTTCATCAGTGACATCAGACAGAGCTCTTGGATCAAGCTGAACTTCATCAATATCAAAGTTGTTATGTATAGGCCAATCATGCTCTGAAAACTGACAATCATGGTACCTGAAAAAAATCAATACACACTAGTGTTACTCCATGTGGTTGATTTCATGTTCTAATTCACTGAGTACCTTTTATGTGATGGCACTGTGCTAGGTCTATGAGGGGATAATTATAGGAAAATAAAGCCAAATGCCTGCCTTGCCTTACTAGAACTTAGTCTGGATGGATAAGCTGTTACTATATTTGGTAACTGCCAATGAAGTATGTAACCTCATGAGGAACTGCGTCTTGCATTCTTAAATAAGACCAGTTCTCATTTATCTCCAGTTTGTTTTTTGTCCACCAGTTTCACACAGATAAAAACTTTCATGGCCACAAAATACAGAAACTCAATCGGGTACCCTACAAATTTTTACTCCTCAGTAAGAGTAATTAGAAGAGGAGGTTCACTGGAAAACTCATCACAATGAAAAGTAAAAATCTCCCTGGGTATACAGGTTACTAAATGTGCTATCCTACTACTGACCCATGACAGCAAAGTGACCCCACTATGCACAATCACTGATATATACAAAAATTGGTTGGGGGACAGGGAAGAGAGAATAGAAAATGCAGGCCTGGTGCAGTGGCTCACGCCTGCAATGCGAGCACTTTGGAAGACTAACATGGGTAGACCACTTGAGGTTAGGAGTTTAAAACCAGCCCAGCCAACACGGTGAAACCCTATCTCTACTAACAATACAAAATTAGCTAGGCATAGTGGCAGGTGCGCCTGTAATCCTAGCTAATAGGGAGGTTGAGGTTGCAGCAAACTGAGATCACACCACTGCACTCCAGCCCAGGTGACAGAGTGAGACTCCATCTCAAAGAAAAAAAAATTAACTGAATCCAATGGTGGGCACCTGTAGTCCCAGCTACTAGAGACTGAACCAGGGAGGTTGCAGTGAGCAGAGATGGCACCACTGTACTCCAGTGGGGGTGAAAGAGTGAGACTGTCTCAGAATAGAACCATATTTAGGCGATAAAAATGGACACATGGAGGGAAAAAAATAGTAGTCTGCAAATTTGTGTAAACATACCAATATCTCACCATTTGAGGAGGGGAAAAAATATATTTTTTTTGAGACAGAGTCTTGCTCTGTCGCCCAGGCTGGAGTGCAGTGGCAGGATCTCGGCTCACTACAACTTCTGCCTCCTGGGTTCAAGCAATTCTCCTGCCTCAGCCTCCCAAGCAGCTGGGACTACAGGCATGTGTCACCACACCCAGCTAATTTTTTTATTTTTAGTAGAGACGGGGTTTCACCATGTTAGCCAGGATAGTCTTGATCTCTTGACCTCATCCACCTGCCTCGGCCTCCCAAAGTGCTGGGATTACAGGCGTGAACCACCACGTGACCTAAAATCTTAAGACTGGCATGACTGGTTTCCAAACCTGGCCATGTATCAAAATCACCTGATGACTCGATAAGCTACCATCCTACTCTGAAGCAGAATTACGTTTAAACTTCCCCATAAATTATTTTTTTCAAACAAAGTCTCATTTTGTCACCCAGGCTAGAGTGCAGTGTCATCATCTCAGCTCCCTGCAATAGCCACCCGCTAGGTTCCAGCGATTCTCTTACCTCAGCGTCCCAAGTAGTTGGGACTACAGGCCCCCACCACCACACCCCGCTAATTTTCATATTTTTAGTACAGATGGGATTTCACCGCTTTGACCAGGTTGGTCTCGAACTCCTGACCTCAAGTAATCGGCCCACCTGGGCCTCCCAAAGTGCTGGGATTACACGCATGAGCCACTGCACCCAGCCAAACTTCCCCCCAAAATTTAGAAATCCAATTCTTTCACTTTAAGAAACATCTAAATATGGATAACATTGTAATGTTTAGACTATAAAAGTCCCTTTTACTGAACCTATGCTAAGTGTCTTCACATTAATTTTGTCATTATGAAAACAGATTCAAATATTGGCTGAGTGCCGTGGCTCACACCTGTAATTCCAACACTGGAAGGCTGAGGCAGGTGTATCACCTGAGGTCAGGAGTTTGAGACCAGCCTGGTCAACATACTGAAACCCCATCTCTACTAAAAATACAAAAAATTAGCCAGGCACCTGTAATCCTAGCTACTCAGAAGGCTGAGGCAGAGGCTGCAGTGAGCTGAGATCGCACCACTGCACTCCAGACTGGGTGACAGAGTGAGACTCCATCTTAAAACAACAAAAATATTGCATATAACATGAGTCAAAAATATTTTTTATCTTAAGACATACCACTGAGACACTGGAGATATTTTATTGGATATGAGTCTTGTCATCTAACATCTTAAATTGTTCTGACATTCATAAATGATTAATCTCTAACCTTCAGTTAAATGACTTTATAATTTTATTGACTAAATATGCCTTAATGACTTTGAAAATGTTTCAAAGTAGCATTTAACTTTTCCCATCATGTATCCTCTGAGCAGTAATTACTTTATTAAACATTTAAATTAACAGCTACTTATAGATATATTAGGGACCATCAGCAAATTTTTCTTTTTGGAATGGACTCTTGCTCTATTGCCCAGACTGGAATGCAGTGGCACAATTTCAGCAGCCTCTGCGTCCCAGGTTCAAGCAATTTTTCTGCTTCAGCCTCCAAAGGAGCTAGGACTACAGGCACCTGCCGTCACACCTGGCTAACTTGTATTTTTACATTAATAAATGTTTAAGACTTCTATCTTGTCTTATATAGAATTTAAAAATAAAAACTCCCTACATCTGGTTCACTGAAAGTTTAGTAAATATTATTTTTCTAATTTAGGATTACTTTACCTTTCCCAGTTATAAATGTGACTGTGAGTTTCATCCATAAGCAAAATATCATCAACTTCATCTTCAATATGAAAAGGATGGCTTGAAATTGGCTCATCCATTGGAAAAGAATATATGCTCATGTAAGGATGGGAGAGCGCTTCTTCTGCTGTTAACCGATCCATGGGGCTAAATGTCAAAATTTGTTCCAGGAAATCCAGTGCTGCAGAAGGAAAGGTAAAAGTTTTTCAGAAAAGAATTGCTTAGAAAAACAGCAAATGTTGATTTCATTTATTTAAATGACTAGCTAAGTGATTACCTTAGTTAGCACTTCATACTACGCAACAGGAACTGAGCATCTTAATTGTATTAAGAAGTCCCCATCTATAAAGGGGAAAAATGGACTACACAATTACACAGTTAATTTGTTGGCTGGGTACAGTGGCTCATGTCTATAATCCCAGCACTTTGAGAGGCCAAGGCAGACAGATCATGAGGTCAAGAGATCAAGACCATATTGGCCAACATGGTGAAACCCCATCTCTATTAAAAATACAAAAATCAGCTGAGCATGGTGGCCCTCGCCTGTAGTCCCAGCTACTTGAGAGGCTGGTGCAGGAGAATAGTTTGAACCCATGAAGCAGAGGTTGCAGTAAGGCAAGAATGCAACACTGCACTCCAGCCTGGCGACAGGGCGAGACTCTGTCTCCGAAAAAAAGAAGAAAATACTATCTTAACTACTATAAAAGTTAGACTTTCATTGATAGCAACAAATCCTAAAGATACGTCACTACCCCATTTTGAGATGTGAAATTTATTGCTTTAAGGCTGACAAAGTTTTGATTCTAAGCTGCTATATTTCTAAGCTTGCATAATTCTTGACATTTAGTATCTAACATTGTTAACATCAATCCACAAACTTTTATGTTTTGCTGCTACAGATTAATCCAGAGTCACGTACACTATTTTTGCTTGAGTTTTGCTCTTTCCTCCACCTCTTCCTTGTCTTGAAGAGCTCTGCTTTCCCCTGGACTCAATTATCTTTCACATCTAAGTCATATCTATACCATTATAACTTAACATATAACCCTCATAGAATTCCATCCCAGCTTAACTTTCTGGAAAGTGATTCAGAGAAACAAAAAAACCAGATCATAGCCTAAGTACCAGGACAGAAAAAGGGAAAATGAGAGTTAAAGTTTCAGGTATACCTTAAGTGTATAAAGACTATTTGAGAGAAAGCCCAATATCTATGGCTAAAAAACTCAAGCTTCCCTATACAGATTCTGCTTCACACACAGGCATTAACGTGAAGGTTACTCTCAAGTCACAATACCTTCTCTACTAATTCCTGGAAGCAGCTGAGTTAAAGGTTTGTGTGGCTCAGTCATGTCATTTCTTATGTAAACTGGAATTACGCTGAGAAGCTCCTGACGATCTTCCTCATGTACAACAGGAATAGATTCTAAAATCAGCTGCATCTGTTCAAGTTCATGTGCACCTGAGGGTTAAAACACACACACGCATTCCTCAATGTTTACTTATTTTACAATAAACATACTAAAATAAATTTAAATATTATAATGACCAGTGGGGGGGGGAGTTTGAATTGAATCATCAGCAGGTTTTATTGCTTTGAGTATCACCAATCTACCCGACTTTCTGCTTACGAGATACATTGTTTTAGCTGCTTTGTTTCCATAGGGAACTGAATCTAAGTTTGGTCTCATGTTAAGGTTATCACAAACTAATGAAAAAAAAAGCAATTGAGATTGAAGAGATCTGGATTCTGGTCTTAACTGTACCACTAATTAACTGGCTATAACTTTAGAGACAATAGCTAACATCTCTAAGACTTAATTTCATCATCAATGAAATGGAGAGTTGGACTAGACTTGTAAAACAAGAAGTTTTATAGTACTATGTTAGGGCTCAGTTAGCATTTCTAGGCTGTTAGGCAATTAAATAAAGGGGAAAACTTTAGGCTAAATAGGTGACCTTTAAAAATTCTATCTGTTGTATATTCCAGCCTCAATGACAGAGACCCTGTCTCAAAAACAAAAATTCCACTTGCCTTTCCTTTAATGTCTATAAATTCATTTAACATTTTAATCTTCTCTAGCCATGCTGCCAGCTAAAGAAAAAAAATTTTTTTACTTTTAGTTCCTACTATGAAGCAGTCTCTGCCTTCATGGATTTTATAACCTGTGGACAAAGATAATTCTGTAAAGAATAGTAGGTCTTATGGTGACATATGCCATAAAGAAAAATAGAGCAGGCTAAGGGTTATAGCACTGTTGGGAGGAATAGGGTTAATACTTCAATACCAGCTTGGCCAACATGGCAAAACCCCAGTCTACTGAAAATACAAAAATTAGCCGGGCCTGGCACATACTAGCTAACTGCTCGGGAGGCTAAAGCATGAGAATTGCTTGAACCCTAGAGGAAGAGGTGGCAGTGAGCCAAGATCATGTTACTGCACTCCAGCCTGGGTAACAGAGAGAAACTCTGTCTTAAAAAAAAATAAAAGATCAAGGAAGGCCTCACTAAGAAGTGGAAAATTAAGGAAGTGGGGAATACACCAAACATTCATATGGAAAAAGAAAGGAGTTCTAGAAAGATGGAAAAGCCCAGAGGAGAGAGGTGGGTTGGTATGTCCAAGAAACAACCATCAGACAAGTCTAGCAAAAGTAGAGTAGCTTGGGGCAGATAGTGGGAGATGAAGTCAGAGTGGTGTTAAACTATAACAGAGGGTTTGCTTTACCCTGACTTTGATGGGAAGCCGTCATACAGTTTGAGCAAAGATATGACATGATCTACCTTATATTTCAATAGGACTACTCTGGCTGCGATGTGGTAACTAAAGACAGCAAACACTGAAGCAGGAAAGAGAAGGTCCTTTTAACAGGGAGACAAAATGGCTGACTGGACTGAGGCAGGGAATAATAAGAGAGAGAGAGTCATAAGCGGTTAGAGTCTGCATATAGTTTCAAGAAAGAGCCACAGGATCTGTGCTAACAGAAATGAAGGACAACCACAAGATTTTTGCCGAAGCAACTGAAAAATGGAGGTACTCGTTTGCTAACATGAGGGAAGACAGTAAAAACCAAGGATGAGGAAGAAATACCAGGGGCCCAGGTCTGGTATGCTAACTTTGGGATGTTATTAGACATCTGAGTGGAGATACTGAATTAAGAAATCTGGAATTCAGATCACAGGTCAGGGCTGAAGATACGAACTCAGGAGCCATCATTAGATAATAGATAATTCTTAAGGAATGAAAAAGAATGAGATTACCCAGGGACTAAGTGAAGCTAGAGAAGCAAGGAACCCAAGGACTGAATCTGGGACACTTCCAACATGAGGAGAAAGAGAAAAACAGGCAAGGGCAACTGAAAATAGGCCGGGGAAGAATTCAAGAGTGCTGTGCTGAAAGGCTGGTGAAAAAGCACCTGAGGAAGGGAAAATCAAGTGTGACAAATGCTGGAGATGGCTGAAAATAAGGACTTAGAATTGGTAAGGGATTTAGCATTATGGAAATCAGTGATGACACCGAGGAGAGTGCTTTCTGGTGGAGGACCAAGCCTGACTGCACAGGGTGAAAGACAGAACGTAAGCAGAGGAATTAAGAGCAATAAGGATGCACACATCTTCTGCGAAGTTTTACATTCAAACAGTACAGTCACATATGGCAATAGCTGAGAAACTGTGTTGTCAGGAGAGGGTTTATTTTCTAAGACTGGAAAAATTCTATCGATGTTTGAATGAACAAATAAAAATGATCTAACAGAAGGGGTACAGTGAAGATGCAAGAGATGGAAGCGATAGAGCAGGAAAAGGGAAAACACCTACTGTCCAAGTGGAAGTGTTAACTTGGGACAGAACACCTACAGAGAGACAATCTGGACCCACAACAGAAATGCACCAAAAAATAAGACGATTAACACTTTCTACAGGCTAAACATACACTGCTTTCCAATGAATGCTTGGTCCTTATCTTTTGTTGCTCTGTTCATTAGCAATTTATACCTAGTAACCACCAAGATCTCCCTTCATGTTTTAATTCAATGGTTCACTGACAGTACAGCATCTAGTATCTAGAAACAAACTATAACCTACATCTTTCCAATCATTTCACAAACAATTCCTATTGAACGTAAAACTATGCTACTTAGAAGTTTTGTTTTACAACAAATCCAGTTATTTTTGTTTCTATACCTAATGTCTGAATATGCATTCAACATTTAAAAATACACGAATACAGCCGGGAGCGATGGCTCAAGCCTGCAATCCCAGCACTTTGGAAGGCCAAGGCGGGTGGATCACCTGATCTCAAGAGTTCAAGACCAGCCTGACCAATATGGTGAAACCCTGTCTCTACTAAAATACAAAAAACTAACTGGGCATGGTGGCATGCACCTGTAGTCCCAGCTACTCAGGAGGCTGAGGCAGGAGAATTGCTTGAACCCAGAGACAGAAGTTGCAGTGAGCAGAGTGTGCGCCACTCACTCCAGCCTGGGTGACAGCAAGACTCTGTCTCAAAAAAGAAAATAAAACCAATTACATGAATACTTTTGTATAATCTCCATGCAGCAGTAGCTACTGACCTCATTTCTATGACTTAGAGCATGACCAAATGATCTTTTTTTTTTTGAGACGGAGTCTCTGTCGCAGGCTTGAGTGCAGTGGCACGATCTCAGCTCACTGCAACCGCTGCCTCCTGGGTTCCAGTGTTTTTCCTACCTTAGACTCCCGAATTGCTAGGACTACAGGTGAGTGCCACCACACCCAGCTAATTTTCGTATTTTCAGTAGAGACGGGGTTTCACATGTTGGCCAGGATGGTCTTGATCTCTTAACCTCGTGATCCATCTCCCTTGGCCTCCCAAAGTGCTGGGATTATAGGCATGAGCCACTGCGCCTGATTTTTCACTACAGTCTTGCTCTGTTGCTCAGGCTGAAGTACAGTGGCATGATCACAACTCACTATAGCTTTGACCTGCCAGGCTCAAGCAATCCTCCCACCTGAGCCCCTTGAATATCTGGGACAACAGGTGTTTGCCACCACGCACAGCTACATTTTTGTTTTTCGTCTTTTTTCTTGTAGAGACAGCGTCTCACTACGGTGTCCAGGCTGGTCTTGAATGCCTGAGCTCAAGTAATCCTTTGGTCTCAGCCTCCAAAAGTGCTGGGATTACATGTAAGAGCCACCACACCTGCCTTGTTTTTCTGACTCATTACTATGGTGGCTTTAAAATGTGTCCACTTGGCCAGGCACAGTGGCTCAAGCCTGTAATCCCAGCTCTGTAAGAGGCTGAGGCAGGCAGATCACCTGAGGTCAAGAGTTCGAGAGCAGCCTGGCCAAAAGGGTGAAACTACTAAAAATACAAAAGTTAGTTGGGTGTGGTGGCAGGCGCCTGTAATCCCAGCTACTTGAGAGGCTGAGGCAGGAGAATTGCTTGAACCCGGGAGGCCGAGGTTGCAGTAAGCCGAGATCACACCATTGTACTCCAGCCTGAGCAAAAAGAGTGAGACTCCGTCTCTAAAAAAAAATTATACACACAGTTTACCCTTGTTCATTCGAGAAGGTGAAAAATGAAAAAGGTCCAAAAATTATTTTGATACTCCTCCCTTCAAAGGGTGGAACTAAACTCCGCTCCCATTGAGCATGAAGTGTACTTAATGACTCGATAGTATTTAACTTTTGAGACTTAATCACAAAAAGATATTTTACATTATGGTCAACTGATTTTTAACAAAAGTGTCAAGATATTCAATGGGGAAAGACTCTTTGCAACAAATGTGCTAGGACAAGTCAATGTCCACATGCAAAGTAATGTGTAAAAGTTGTCTGGGCACGGTGGCTCACAACTGTAATCCCAGCACTTTGGAAGGCCAAGGTGGGCAGCGTAACCAACATGGTGAAACCCTGTCTTGACTAAAAATACAAAAATTGGCTGGGAGTGCATGCCTGTAATCACAGCTACTCAAGAGGCTAAGACAGGAGAATCACTTGAACCCAGGAGGTGAAGGCTGCAGGGAGCCGAGATTATGCCACTGTACTCTAGCCTTGGCAACAGAGCAAGACTCCAGCTCAAATAAACAAAATTCTTTCAAAAGACACTGTCAAGAAAGGAAAAGAAAATTCCAAAATAGGAGAAAATACATGTAAATCACAAAGGATTTCTATTCAGAATTATGTAAAGAACTTTTACAACTCAATAATAAAAAGACAACCCAATTAAAAAATGGGCACTGGATCTGGATAGACATTCAGCATCATTAGGTATGCAAACCAAAACCACAATGGGGCTTGGTGCAATGGCTCCCACCTGTAATCCCAGCATTTTGGGAGGCCAAGGCAGGCAGATCACTTGCAGTTAGGAGTTCTAGACCAGCCTGGCCAACATGGTAAAACCCTGACTCTACTGAAAAAACAAAAACCAGCTGGGCGTGGTGGCACCTGACTTTGTAATCCCAGCTACTAGGAAGGCTGAGGCAGGAGAACTGCTTGAACCCAAGAGGCAGCAGTTGCAGTGAGCAGAGATCATGCCATTGCATTCCAGCCTGGGCAACAAAGCAAGCCTTTGTCTCAACAAAACAAAACCACAATGAGACACTACTTCATACCCGGTAGGATGGCTGTACTCAAAAAGACAAAATTTAACTCTCATACATTGCTGGCGGGAATGTAAAATGGTACAGCTGTGCTGGAAAACTGTTCTTCAAAGAGTTACCACGCGACTCAGCAATTCCAATCCTAGGTACATATACCCAAGAGAACTGAAAACATGTTCACACAAAAACTTGCACACAAATATTCACAGCAGCATTATTCATAATTAAGAAAAAGTAGAAACCCACATGTCCATCAACTGATGAATGGATAAACAACACATGGTATATTAATATAGCAGAATACTATTTGCCCATAAAAAGGAAAAAATTACTAACATATGCCACAACATGGGTGAACCTACAAAATACTGCTACATGAAAGAAGCCTGTCACAAAGTCCAAATGTTATATGAAACATTCAGAGCAGGCAAATCCGCAGAGACATAAAGTAGATTAGTGGTTGTCAGGAGCTGGGGAAAAGGGGAAATGAGAAGTGTCTGCTAATGGTTGCAGGATCTTTTAGGAGCAAAGACAGTGTTCCAAAATTAGACTCTGGTGATGGTTACACAACTCTGTAAATACACTAAAAAATATAACTGTATACTTTAAAAAGATTTACTGGCTTTCTCCTTGCTTTCTTTTGAATCATTAGTTCTAGAGGAAGTCAGCTGCCATATTATGAAGACACTCAAGCAATCCTATGGAGAAGCTCACATGGTGAGGAACCGAAGCCTCTTGTTAACTGTCATGTAAGTAAGCTATCTAGAAGTGGATCCTCCTGCCTTGGTCAAACCTTCAGGTAACTGCTGCCCTTAACAACAACTTGACTGAGAAAACCTGAGCTAAAACTAAACCACTCCCACATTTTGACAAGCAGAAACTGTTAAGACAATAATAAATGTTTGTTGTTTAAGCTACTAAGTTTTGGAGTAATTTGTCACACCACAACAAATAATACGGAATTATTTGTATATGCTGGAAGGCACTTGATATCAGCAACAAAACCTCCAATCACAGTATTGTTCTTAAGCAAAAAAAAAAAAAAAAAAAAAAAAAAAATCCATTTAATCATTTAGCTTCCAGGAATCCCTCATATTTTTTCATAGTGATTGAATTTCAATTTAGAAAACTATCACACATCTTAGGAAAAAAAAAATTTCTTTATTTTTTTTCTTGAGACAGAGTCTTGCTCTGTTGCCCAGGCTGGAGTGCAGGGGTGTGATCTCGGCTCACTGCAAACTCAGCTTCCCGGATTCAAGAGATTTTCCTGCCTCAGCCTCCCAAGTAGCTGGGATTACAGGCACACGCCACCAAGCCTGGCTAATTTTTGTATTTTTAGTAGAGATGGACCTTCACTATGTTGGCCAGGCTGGTCTTGAACTCCTGACCTTGTGATCCGCCCACCTTGGCCTCCCAAAGTGCTGGGATTACAGGCATGAGCCACCACGCCAAGCAATTTTTTTTTTAAAACAGTGTCATTCTCTGTTGCTCAGGCTGACTGCAATGGTGTGATCCTGGCTCACTGCAGCCTCAGACTCCCCAGTAGCTGGGATTAAAGGCGTCAGCCACCACGCCCAGCTAATTTTATTTTTAGTAGAGATGAGGTTTTACTATGTTGGCCAGGCTGGTCTTGAACTCCTGACCTCCAGTGATCCACCCACCTCAGCCTCCCAAAAGTGCTGGGATGTATGAGCCACCACATGCACCCAAGCCAGAAATTTTACATAAATATAAAAAAAAAATTATAAAGGACTGGTCAATGTTATATAAACTAAGTACTGGCATTAATATACTTAAAAGACATTTATGCATGCTGTCCTTTCTTAACCAGTGCTCTCCTATGTACACTAATCTTTCGTATGTAAATAGACCCTGGCCTATTCCTCTCCTTCTGCTCTTGCCACAGTCCAGGAGTTGGCGGGGGAGGGCCACTCTAAAAATTGTTATAGTGGGGAAAAAAGTAGTGTCAAGGCCAGGCGCAGTGGCTCACCCCTGTAATCCCAGTACTTTGGGAGGCCAAGGCAGGCAGATCATGAGGTTAGGAGTTCAAGACCAACTTGGCCATCATGGTGAAACCCCATCTCTACTAAAAATACAGAAAATTAGCCAGGCATGCCAGTGCACACCTGTAATCCCAGCTACTCAGGAGGCTGGGGCAGAAGAACTGCTTGATCCTGAGAGACGGAGGTTGCAGTGAGCCGGGATCTTGCCACTGCACTCCAGCCAAGGCAACAGAGCGAGACTCCATCTCAAAACAAAATAAAACAAAAAAATAATGTCAAAAGACAGAAAAAGGCCTAAATCACTACCACATCACTTCCCCAACTAAAAAAATTTTCAGAACCCTTTTTTTTTTTTTTTTACTTTTCCAAATGGAAAGTCCTCTACCTACTTTCTAAAATACTTTCTAGTATTCGGACCCCATCTTAACTAGTCATAAATATGTTTATTGTTATTTGACAACGTGCATGAATCTCAGATTCATGAATGCCCTAGGCTTATGCTTTTATTTATATGGGTACCCTTAAATAACACATTTTCTCTCTTCCCCAGTTAAAATTCCTCGCTATTTCTAAATAGTGAAAAATCTTTTGGACTCCATAATACCTTCCATTCTAGCAATCACTGATGCATAGCTTCTCTAAGTTTATAGCTCTAGTCTATATTAAATAATTTTATACAGACACATGCTTTGCTTTATGACAAGACATTTTTCATGGATGATTTATCTCATCTTGACAAAGTTCTCTCTCACATACTTCTTTACACTTCTAAATAGCACCAAACTTAAAAAATTACTTGTTTATTTATAGAGGGAGGGGACCAAGAAACATTTGTTGGATTTTCAACAATAGCTTAAAATTTTCACCAGGAAGTGACCACACTGACAGAATTATGCAACTCAAATATCAACACAAATTACCAACAAGTATTATGGGTCCACAACATATGAAATTATATCTGAACACTAGAGTTCTGATAATTTATCAAGTGACCAATTTAGCAAATATGTGAATAAGTTTTCTCAATTTTTTAAATAAAAACACCAATTTATCTGTTCATTTTAGTATTCTAGATCACAACAAATTATTTTAAATCTTATGTGGATCTTGCTTCAGAGATAAATGCAAAATTATTTCTCTTTGGGATAACTTTTTTCCCCACAAAATACTAACCTGCAAAAAGGGTTTTACCAGTCAGCATTTCAGCAAAGATGCAGCCTGCTGCCCACATGTCAATGGCTTTCGTGTAATTATTAGGAGAAAGTAAAAGACGTGGAGATCTGTACCATTTAGTAACCAATCCTTCAGAAAGATGACCCTACAAAAGAAACAAACATAACATACATACCTTTTTTTTACTTTACCTAAAGAATAGCACTTAAAACTTTAACCCTAGCATTTTGGAAAGCTGAGGTGGGTGGATTGCTTGAGACCTGGAGTTTGAGACCAGCCTGGGCAACATGGGGAAACCTATCTCTACTAAAAATACAAAAATTAGCCTGGCATGGTAGTGCATGCCTAGCATCCCAGCTACTTGTCCGGATGAGGTGGGAGGATCACTTAAGCACAAAACACAGAGGCTGCAGTGAGCCGATATCATGCCACTCCGTGCCAGCATGAGTGACAGAGCAAGACTCTGTCTAAAAAAAAATGTATATTTTTATATATTATATATAATTTTTATGTATTATATATAATATATAATATAAACTTTTATGTATTATATATAATATATAAATATATATATATATATATATAACTCTAGTTATAGTGTTAACTCTAGGCCACACATTTTTCAGAAGATAAGCTGGTTTGCAAAGTCTTGAGATAATCAAGGAGCACGTATGCTTCAAGTCAGAGCAGTAGGGAAGAACATCAGAGGAACTACTTATAAACCAATGTCAACCTCCCTACTGACAACCCAGGGGGCTTGGCTCTACTATAAATCCTATTCATAATCAATTTATCCTACTTTACAATTACAAAGCACTTTATAAAACCTTATACATATATTGCGTTTTTTCATCCTCAAAACTACCCTAAGAGATTGTGATGGTAGGTATTAACTCCATTTTATAGGTGTGATGACACAGAGATTAAAGGATCTGTTTCAGGTCATATAGCTAGTTCGATGTAGGAATGGAGTCAATTTTAGACAGCATAAGTCTTACTTCACTGCTTTATCCACCAGACTTCACTGTGGATAGAGTGAATACACAAAAAAGACATGGTCACTTTAATACTCATCTTTTTTTTCTCTAGGAAAAAAAAAGTGTCTGTGTTGCCCAGGTTGGTCTCCCTCCGGCCCCAGCCTCCCAAAGCACTGAGGTTACAGGCATGAGCTGGTTACAGGTATGAGCCACTGTGCTCTCAGCCTAGTACTCATTTTCTATATTAAAACTTTTTTTTTTTTTTGAGATGGAGTTTCGCTCTTGTTACCCAGGCTGGAGTGCAATGGCGCGATCTCGGCTCACCACAACCTCCGCCTCCTGGGGTTCAGGCAATTCTCCTGCCTCAGCCTCCTGAGTAGCTGGGATTACAGGCACGCGCCACCGTGCCCAGCTAATTTTTTTTGTATTTTTAGTAGAGACGGGGTTTCACCATGTTGACCAGGATGGTCTCGATCTCTTGACCTCGTGATCCACCCGCCTCGGCCTCCCAAAGTGCTGGGATTACAGGCGTGAGCCACCGCGCCCGGCCCCCATTAAAACTTTTTTAAGTAAAAATATCTTAATGTGGGTGGGGCATGGTCGCTCATGTCTATAATCCCAGCACTTCAGTGGGCAGAGGTGGGTGAATCACCTGAGGTCAGGAGTTTGAGACCAGCCTGACCAACATGGTGAAACCCCATCTCTACTAAACAAACAATGATTACTGGGTGTGGTGGCGGGCACCTGTAATCCCAGCTACTCAGGAGGCTGACGGAGGAGAATTGCTTGAACCCAGGAGGCAGAGGTTGCAGTGAGCCAAGATCACACTATTGTACTCCAGTCTTGTCAACAAGACTGCTCCTTATCTCAAAAAAAGAAAAAAAAAAACTTAATGTGAAACAACATGTAAGAAGATTTGCTTTAGGCATGTATTGTGGAAAGCCAACAAAGCAGGGCTCCCAGGGGTTCTTTACAACCAAAACAACTCCACTTTTTTATTTTAAACATCGGAGTTCCACATAAGATTTCATTTCAAAACGAAAAGACCAAGGTTCAGCTTGAAAAACACTATCAAATTCTTGTATGAAGGCAATTTGCTCTCTAAGAGGAAGTCGCTATGAATCTTGTTGGCTATACTTACTGCAATTGTTCATGTGAATTTAGATTTCAAACTAAACATGGTTTAAACAAAGCAGAACTGAAGAGTACAGGCTCAATCAAAGGGACAAAAGAAGACAGAAGCTGGGTGTGCTGACATGTACCTTTAGCCTCAGCTATTCAGGAGGCTGAGGCCAGAGGATCGTTTGAGCCCAGGAATTTGAGGACAACCTGAGCAACACAGCAAGATCTTGTCTCTAAAAAAATTAGAAAAAAGGGCTGGGTACGGTGGCTCATGCCTGTAATCCCAGCACTTTGGGAGGCTGAAGTCAGGAGTTTCCAACATGGAGAAACCCCATCTCTACTAAAAATACAAAAAAATTAGCTGGGCCTGGTGGCACACGCCTGTAGTCCCAGCTCTTGGGAGACCAAGGCAGGAGATTTGCTTGAACCCAGGAGGCGGAGATTGCAATGAGCCGAGATCGCCACTGCATTACAGCCTTGGTGACGGTGCGAGACTCTGTCTCAAAAAAAAAAAAAAAAATCAGAAAAAAGGCTGTGCATGGTTGCTCACACATGTAATCCTAGCATTTTGGAGGGCTGAGACAGGCAGATAGTTGGAGCCTAGGAGTTCAAGAGCAGCCTGGCCAACATGGTGAAGCCCCATCTCTACTAAAAACACAAAGAAAATTAGCTGGGCATGACTGCACATACCAATAATCCCAGCTACTTGGGAGGCTGAGGTACTGAGTCACTGCTTGAACCCAGGTGATGAAGGTTGCAGTCAGCCGAGACGGCACCACTGCAAACCAGCCTTCGAGACAGAGCAAGACTCTGTCTCGAAAACAAAACAAACAAAAGACCTAAAAGTCAAAGTAGTATCCCCTCTTACACTTCTGTCCCAAAGAGAGATTACAATTCTGTCCCAAAGAGAGAAGAGTATATTCCACTTTTAAATAACTAAGAGAGAATTTCATTTATAATAAATAACCACATACTTTAGAACTTCATTATAATAACCATCTATTCTTAGAAATTAGTATTTAATTATCCCCCTCCGCCTTCATTTCAAACAGACTGTGAAGGAAAGTAGATCTGCATCAGAAAAAAAGGCACTATGTAAAGTTTAGTAAGATTAAACACTGTGCCACAACCTACAAAGAAAATACAAGTACCTATTCCTGCTGACGTGTATCAGTTTAAAGATCTGTCTCAGCTGGCTTTCTACATACCTTATGAGAATAATGAGGATCCATGATCCGTGCAAGACCAAAGTCACCTATCTTCAGCACCAAGTCTTCAGTATTAATGAAAAGATTAGCTGGTTTGAGATCTCTGTGCAGTACATTTGCAGAGTGAATATACTTGAGCCCCCGTAGCAGCTGATACATGAAAAGTCTGGCATGCTCTTCCAGTAAAGGGCCCTGCTCCAGCACATTAGCCAAGTCTGTCTCCATGTACTCCTGAACAATGTAAACACTGTTCAGCTCCGTAAGAGAGCCCACATCGTCTGTTAACTGGCTTCCACTGGGACCAAGAATTTCAAACACTTTCACAATGTTATCATGATCAAGTCTTCTAATAATTTTGATTTCACGTAGAGCATGTTTGACACTCTGGGGATCGGTAAGGACAATTTTCTTGATGGCTACTCTTTTGTCACAGTCATTGTCTACAGCAGAAAAAACCAAGCCATTGCCTCCACAACCCAACGGTTTTAAGTCCATATACCTAGAACCCAGATCAAAACCATGAATGTTCATGAGACTTTCAAATTTCTCTGCCATTTTGAAACCCTTACTATTGCCTTTTCCTTTCAAATTGTTGAACTTATGTAAACAAGGAAGAAAACTGGCATCAAAAGGAAAGATCTTTCAAAAAGGGAGAAGAAAAATAATTATGCTTCCACAGCAAGATGGTTTCTTGATGTTCATTGCATATGCCAAACAGGCCTGTTGAGGTCCCCTTAGATTTAAAGCTCAAAAAGCTCTACTCATATTGAGAATTAAAAAGATTGCAGTACTCATAGTTCAAGAAAGGGGCAGCAACTCTGCAGACATTTAAAGAAAACACTCAAGAAACTCAAACGGAATGAAATGACATACTATGCACTCAGATTACTGTGCTAAACGATTTAACATTTAACAAAAATGTGAATAAATATGCACACAACAGGCTTCTATGAACATTCTCCTCACAGTGCAGATACATTCAGTGTTGGACTGGTCCTGAGCAGCATCGTTCTAAGGTGCTGGTAAGCACTATTTCCGTTTTGCTTCTTTTCTTCCTTTGTTGCTATATATTTCAACAGGAAGCCCTGGTGGCTGTTGGTTAACAGATGTCTTTTGTTAGTGATCAGGTGGCTCCAGCTCACCACAATCACAATCAAAGCTACCGTCCATCTTACTCTGATACAACCTGGGGAGTAAGAAAAAGAAGGAAAAGTCACCACTGCAGAAAATACGCTTTTCTTCAAATTTGTAATATGACACAAACTGGACATTTAGCAATAAACTGCTCCTGGAACATTAAACTTAATTATGGTCATTAAGTGACAAATTACCCTTAATCAAAAATAGCTTGCAAAAATGTTGTGAGCAATTCACACATACTGGCTGGGGCTCCAGATTTCACTACACTAGATTCTTGATAACAGTTAGACTCATTAGGTTGTGCCATTTCTGAAATGCCAACAAGTATGGGAAGATTCACAGTATTTTTATAGAACCTGAGTTTATGAGGGGTAAAACATTAGTGACATCCATCTAAAAGAACTGATAACAAGTCTGCAATGTCTGAGTTTAAGAGTATGTTTACTTATTAACTATGCCTATCAATAGCCAATGAACAAACATCTAACAGCACAAATAAGATAAATATGCAAATAATGCTCTTCAGTTTATAAGAGTAAACTTGAACAATGAATACATCTATGAAAAAGCACTTAATGGGATTGATAGGAAACCTTAAGAAAACATTTCAGATTGAAAAAACATGCTTAGAGTCTGTTAATGTCAAGTCTGAGGAGTGTGAGAAAACAAACTTTCATACAATATTGGTTGGAGTTTAGTAAAAAAAAACTTCAGGGCCATTTGGCATAAACATATAAATGAATAAATAGCATACTCTATGTCTTGGCCATTTTTCCTCACAGTAAACTCCCTAGAGAAATGCTCATTTTTTGGTAAAGAAAAAATTAGTAACAACCTAAAATTCGTAAAATAGGAGAACAGATAAGTAGTTATATGCATGTAAAATAGTTTTTTTGCTAAGTATATACGTATACTGCAAAAGTAAAACAAATATGAAAAAAATGAGACTGACAAATACCAAGGTCATAAGATTACCTGGAAGTTATTAAGGAAAGAAACCAGAATAATTTCTCTGCATTTTAATGTGTTATTTATTTTTAAATAACAAGCATGGCAGATTACTAGAATCTTATAGAGCTGGGTCGTATGTATATGAAGGTTCGTTATATTGATCTCTATACGTTTAAAATATTTCATGCTTTTAAAAATATCCAATAAAAGGGCAGGAAAAAATAGTCTCAACTCCAGCAGACGGTTCCCTAGCCCGCCTGAAAAAAACAAACAAACAAATGCAACTTGGTTCTTTCAATTTCTTAATGGCTTAATCCTTGAATCTGCAGACTACCCAGAGTACCAGATATGAGGCACTATGGAAAATAAGGTGGTAATAAGGTGGTCAGAATTCCTGACAAATAAGACCAGACAATATTTTAAGCAGAAAGAATAACCTAAAGCCAATTTATTCATTTAATTGAATATATAAAAATTATTGAGCAACTATTATATGCTAGGCAGGAGCAAAGGTGATATGAGCAAAAGGATTCTGGCCCTCAGTAAACTCAACTCATCGCTCAATAGGAGAAAGACAGCTTTAATAAAAACTGATAATGGCCAGGTGCGGTGGCTCACGCCTGTAATCCCAGCACTTTGGGAGGCTGAGGAAGGTGGATTACCTGAGCTCAGGAATTTGAGACCAGCCTGGGCAACACCGTGAAACCCTGTCTCTACTAAAATACAAAAAACAGCTGGGCGTGGTGGTGTGCGACTGTAGTCCCAGCTACTCAGGAGGCTGAGGCAGGAGAATCGCTTGAACCTGGGAGACGGAAGCTGCGGTGAGCCGAGATCATACCACTGCACTCCAGCCTGGGTTACAAAGTGAGACTCCGTCTCCAAAATAAATAAATAAAACTGATAATTGACTATCTCGCAGTTCTTTTAATAAATAAGAACAAGTTTTGTATCTGCTTAATATTATGAAGGACACTAACAGTATAACAGATTTCTTTTACTGTAACAGAGATGGCTTCTCCTGTCCGTCTGCAAGTTTTTCTCTGCTTCTTAGAAATCAGCCCTCCTAGCCCGCCAAAAAAAAGTCCCCTAAAAATTGTTGCTTACCAGTCTATTTGTAATAAAAAACTTAAAAGTTGAAGTCTGTGAATAAACTTTTGAATTAAAAAATATTTCAAACAACTTAAGTTCAACATATCATTTGCCATTATCTAACTGAGCCATTAGTCTCTCTTTGGTCTTTAGCCAGTGGATTTTCAATGTTGTTATATGATCTAGGCTCATGTGACTGTGAGAATAAGTAATAAAAATAAGTTTCTGTATTGCTAAAAAACTTTCAGATTTTTACAAAGGGCTTTAATACTGCATGTGTCCCTCCCACCAAGTTTTTTCTGTTCTCTGTACACATCTTGATTCCTTCTGCTCCCCACCAAATATCCTAGGAAAACCAGTTTTGTTTTGTTTTTGAGACAGGGTATTGCTCTGTCACCCAGGCTGGAGTGTAGTGGCATGATCACCGCTCACTGCAACCTCTACCTCCTGAGCTCAAGAGGTCCACCCACCTCAGCGACCCCCTCCAGGTAACGGGACTACAGGCAGGAGCCACCACACCCAGCTAATTTTTGTATTTTTTGTAGAGATGGGGTTTCAACATGTTTCCCAGGCTGGTCAAGAAAACCAGTATTTCTTAAAGGTTCCACTATTTCCAAAATGTTACATCTGTAGTCTCTACCTGAAAAAGAATGTTTGTTCATGCCTACTTTCTTGCCTTAATGAAAACAATTCCTTAAAGCTTAGTCATGCTTTACATTTCTGATAAATGTACACTGTAGTCAGTTCCATAGACAAATGAAATAAGAACATTAAGATCTCCAAGTTCTCCCTCAAACTTCTAGTTCACTAATACAGCAATCTAGTCAAGCACAAATACACCACTGCTATATGACCGAACAGTACTAAAGGAGGAGGTGCAGCCAGATTAGGGAAGCCATAAAAATGAGAAATCCTTACTCAAGACCTCCATCCATATCTGCCCTCTTAAATTTTACCAAGACCAAGAAGCATCACAAACTAGAAACTTGAAGCGTCACAAACTAGAAACTTTTTTTTTTTTGCATTTGAAACATTTATTTCAGGAAATACATTTTCAACATTTTGTAGTTTATATAAAAAGAGACAAATTTCTTGGGAGGCACGTAGCAAAAGGCCGTTGAGGATCAGAGCCTGATGAACAATTTTCAAAGTCTGGTTACAGAGAAGGAAAGTGAAGCATCTCAAGGCTGGGATGCTGCTGCCCACCCCCCACCCCACCCTGCCACCAAGGATGAGAGTGCCTCTTCAGAATCCTCAGTGACCGATCAGCACTTCATGAGGTAGAGGAAGTAAAAACTGACACTAGGAAAGGTAGGAGCTTTGTCTACACTGAACTGCAGAGTCACCACTATGGACTCAGATGATGAAAACTATACATTCTAACAAGAGAAGGTAGTATTTATAAACCAAACTGTAATTCCACTAGACAATGAGGATTATACCAATTAAACATCTGGGGGGGAAAAAGATTTATAATATTAGTGCTTGCTCAGCGATTCTGCCTCGTTGCTCTGTGAGCAATAGTCCTCAGAATCCTTCAGTATTCATTAGACCAAATTCTGATGGACCGCCTTTTAAATCAGCTAGGATCTTGGAAAGTAGACCCACTTTAATTTGTAAGTTGGGAGTAATGTTGTATACCTCTGCATCACAGAGTGAATCCAAAAAATGTGTACAATTTAGTCATGTTCCATTATTTGATAAGTATCTGTGTCAATCTCCTGGCCCTGGGGAGTAAAGAGAGACTTGGGGCTCTGCCCTCATGGAGTTCATTGTGTGACTAGAGACAAACAATTTTTTAAAAATGAAAAGAAAACAAGGAAATGAAGAACACATGGTACCGAGGAATGCTACAAGATGCTACTGAGAGTCTAGACACGGGGGTGTGGCCTAACTAGAAAGTCAGGAGGTATGCTCTCATGCTCCCCTAGTGAACCTAGAGAGAAACTGTTCCCTCCTTATCACACCTTGACTCTTAGGGCAGTTATATTCCAAATGCTGATTTCCCTCCAACTATCTCCCAACTTTTATGTCAATCATGGAGCTCCTTGGCCTCACTGAACATACATAAAACTCAACTGGACCAGCAGATGGTCACTGCATCCTCTATCCACATCAGTGGTGCCACTATATCCATCATCTTTCATGTTTAATTTCATAAAGGCAAAGTTTAAAGCTTAGACCCAGGAAAAAACTGGGGCTCTGTATTCTTTTTACACGATCCACACACTCCAAGGGAGTAAAAAAGAAGATAACATAAAGGGATCCTTTTCACTGTCTTTCCAATTTCTCTGCTTCCAAATAAATGCTACCCTTTCCTACTAAGCAGGGCTGATTCTGGGTTGTTTGGAGAGGGATCACTAAGTTTGATTAGCTGGTTCAATATTGTTTTGTTTTTAACAATTTGGGTGAATAAAATGAAGTACAGAGAACAATTTATAAGAATAAAGGTGGCTTTTTATCTTTGGCTTTCTTTCAGTGATTTACCATGCCATGGAATTAAAAGCTCTCTGTAATCAGGCTGGATACCAGCTTCTTAAGTTTATAAGGCAGCTCCCTGAAACTGCATTAGCCACAGGTGTCTGCTCAGGCACTGCTCTCTTCTCTAAATTACCTCCTGCTCTGTCACCTGGTCTACCCCCACACCAAGAGCAATGCTGGTACTGGGAGTCAAGCCTAAGTGTATAAAGTAATGAAATGCAAACAAAACACATAAAATAACTTTACTCTGTTCCATCTCAACATTCTATAGAAACTGAATTTTCTTTTTTCTTATCAAGGAGAAACCTGGCCTACCTATGTCAAAAAAGGAAGTCTAGGTGTGCAAAGAAAGTCTGAAGTCAGGGCCATATACATAAAGGTTATTTTTCTGGTTTTCTCCTCAACCTTCTGCTCTGCTGCTTCTCAGGATAAATGCTGACATGGGTCATCTGGCCTGTTCAGTCACTGACGGCACTTCCCCCAGGTCCTCTCCACAAAGGCTCTTGCTTATTTTGCTCTTCTCCA